GGGGGGGGGAGGGAGTGTCCAATTCCATAACCCAGCTCACCCCAGTCTTTCCAATGTTTTTTGCAACTAATAGGTTCAAAACTCAACTAAGTCTAAAAATAGAATGTCATATTCCATTATGGAAAAACTGCTTGTCCTGCCTTGCTGATAATACCCCTGCCTGAAATGCTGTCTCAAGATTCCCAGTTTCTGGCTGCATACATCCACTTCATTCCTGAAGCTTCAGTTTAAATATCACATTTATTTAGTGAAATTCCCAAATCCTCACTCTAAAAAATGGAATCTCGCCTGCCTCTAAGGCTTTAACATACTTTTTTCTGCTGTCTTCCAGTGAAATATTTTGTGTAGCTTCCACCCCACCCCACCCCTTCCTGGCCACCACTAATCTACTCTGTGTCTCTATGGATTTGCCTATCTGGCCAATTCATATAAATGGAACCAGACAATATGTGGCCTTTCATGCCTGGCTTCTTTCACTTAGCATAACGTTTTCAGGGGTTCGTCTGTATTGTAGCCTGTGTCAGTACCTCATTCTTTTATATGGCCAAATAATATTCTATCACGTGGCTCTACAATACTTTATCAATTCATCAAGTGGCGAGCATTTGAACTGTTTTAACTTTTTGGCTATTATGAATCCTGCTGCTTTGATATTCAAGTACAAATTTTTCTGTGGACATGTTTTTAATTTCATTGGAAGTGGAATTGCTGGGTTTACTATTTTATGGACCTGCCAGACTGTTTTTCAAAATATCGGCACCATTTTACATTCCTACCAGCAATGGACCGGTGTTCCAATTTCTCTACATTTTTGCCAATGCTTGTCGTCTGTCTTTTTAATGTTAGTTATCCTACTGGGTGTGAAGTGATATCTCACTGTGTTTTTGTTTTTTAACTTATCTTTATTGTTGAAAATATTACAGATGCCCCCCTTTTCCCCCCATTGACCCCCTCCACCCTGCCCCTGTCCCCACCTTAACATACTTTATTTGCATCTTTCTAATGGAACTGGCCTCAATTTTCTTGCATTACTGTGCATTTGTCTCATCTTACTCCCCCTATTGCGTTGTTTGTCCCTTGTGGACAGAAATTCTATCTTTGGTTTCTCTATATGCTCCTCAGCCCCTCTCAGAGTGGCTACCCCATCAATATTTCTTAGAGAAAGAATGAATAAAATAAATACCTGCCTTGTGTCCAGGTGCACTGATTGTCTTTGTCAAGCAGTCCACACAGCTGCTGGCAGGTGGAGCGCAAGGTGCCTGCAGTGTGCTCCAAGAGCTGATGAAGGGCCCTGCTGAGCTCCTGCCCCAGAAAGACCACAGTGGCAATCCATGTGGCCCCACCGGCCCCGTCACTGTGGTCATGGCCCAGCAATGCCTGCTTCAGCATCAGGTTCTGTCTCCAAATCTGCTTCAGTATTTGGCCTAGTTTTCCCGAGCCCATATCTTCCGTATCCATTTTATGCTCCAAGAGGGAAATGCTTCTTTTCTGCCAGCAAAACCTAAAGGTTTAGCAAATTCAAACTTGGCAATGGTTGTTTCTCCTAAAACCTAGGAGATGATCCAAGTCAGCTAGCCAAGCACTTTCTCACAACATAATAGTTTATTCAGCTTCTTGTTGACCAGTGAAAAGTTACTAGGTGACCAAAGCAGGGGCGTTCCTGCACCCTGGGTGCCATTGTGTACAGAATGGATTAATCATGGAGACTGAGCTGGCTCACACAGCCCCATTCTCCATGTAAGTTTTACACATTCAGGGCACTATGGAAACCCCACAGACTTTCCAAGGTTCAAGGGAACAAAATACAGATTCCGTGGAAAGATGAGAGGTTTATTATCAAAGGTAAATTGTTTGGACAATACCACTAATGAGATTCCTATTCGATACTTAAAAATACTTAGGAATGAGCCTGGCCAACGTGGCTCAGTGGTTCAGCACAGACCCATCAACCAGGAGGTCAGGGTTCGATTCCCAGTCTGGGCACATGCCTGGGTTGTGGGCTTGATCCCCAGTGGGGGGCTTGCAGGAGGCAGCCGATCAATGACTCTCTCATCATTGATGTTTCTATCTATCCCTCTCCCTTCCTCGCTCTGAAATCAATAAAAACATATTTAAAAAAAATTTTTTAAATACTTAGGAGTGAAATAATATGGTGTCTGAATTCAAAATAATCTGGGAGTGTGGGAGTGGTGGATAAATGAAATAAGATTGGCTATAAATTAATAATCATTGAACCTGGGTACAATTACATGTGGGTACAATTACATTCTAATTAGCATATATTTATAATTTTTTAATAGTGAGGAACTTTAAAAAATAATCTTTTGCTGGGGCAGAGTCTATTACCATTGGTTGGGTGAGTTTAATTAGCACCTTCTTATATGGCACGTCTGCAATCAGATTGAGGTAGATACTTGGCTTCTTTACTCTCTGATAATTTCCCTCTAATTGGATAAAATGCCCCTTCACTAAAAGAAAGCCAACCTGAAAAGTGGCTTTTTCTCTGAACTAACAAGAAGTCTTCACCATGTTTAATTAAAAATTCAGATACAGCAAGTTCTCACCACGGCTGGGCCCCTAAGTTGGCTGGGGATTTACAGAGGAACCCAGAACAGCCTGCTTCCTCCTTTCCCCCGCCCCCC